GTTTTTGCCGGCTGTAGCAGCGCTATAGCGCTGCTATAGCGCTGCACAGCAAAAACGCATAAAAAGGCAAAATGTAGAGCAAAAGAAACGCACCAACTTTCATTGCGCAATTATGTTTTAACTGGTTTTTCTCCTCAGTGAAGAATTATTTCAAGAAAACAACTGGAAAGCAGGCCAGCCAAGTGAGGAAAAGCTACATACTTGAGGCTGCAGTGCGTGCAAAATTTGATTAGCTAAGGCCCCAGTAAATTTAAGTTTTCCGTTGGAAAGTACAGCTGGGCGAAATTGTGGTGCAGGGCAGGGTGAGGCAGTTTGAATGGACTGTAAAAACAACTGAATTAAAAGAATTTATTTCCCATTTCACCAAAGCCGTTATTTTTTAGATTAGAAAATGACTCCCTGGATGAGAGCAACAGCGATCAGGGTCCCGAAACAAGTATGTGCTAGCCGTACTAAATAAAACGTTTTAGAAGAGTAAAAACAGAGACAATTTCCAGTGTTGGTTTTACTTATCCAGTGAATCGATTGTCTGTACTTGCATATTTCTGTTGGATGACCAAATGAATTTTATAACCACTTTGGAGTTTTTTTTTGATTTTTTTTTATTGCATAGATAACGCTAATGCTTTATCTACAAATGAAGACAACGTAAAGCGTAACCTGAAATTGGTGTGTATGACATTTTTCAATAGGATATGGTAATGCTGGCAGCTGTGGAACGCGATCAGTATTAGATACAAAATCTGGTGGCGAAGTAACTTGAACAGCTTTTGCTCAGTGCCCCAAAAAGCCTACGAGAAATTAGCAGTGATAAAGATAATCGTAGTAATAACAATGATAATGACAATTATGATAATGATGGCCGCAAAAGTAACATTGGACAGAAAATAATTGCTTTGCTGAGGAATTATAAGATTGCGAACAAATTATCAGCACTTAAAATCTTTGCCCCAGCAGTGGTGGCACAGGGATGAGCACAACCATTTCATGGAATATTTTCGAGCCACATTTTGCAGTTTTTCTCCTCATGCTCTTTTGGTCGTCATTCTTTAGATGAAAATGCAGTGCTTTCCTATAAGCTTGTGCTCGCCTCTCTCGCTACATTTCACATCTTCAAAATGTGAAATCATTCAAAGATGAAGTACATCTAAGTGGAATCAGGAAGGCCATAGCACCAACATTGCTCCGAAATACAGCATCATGCTTTTATACATACATACACACGCATACACACACACACACACACACACACACACACACCATACTATACACAATCAGTCAAAAAGCATGCGCAAAGTTCGAAAATGCTGGCGCAGCCTGTTTCATTCTCCAATTATTATACGTTTTCGTAAAAATCAACTCAAGGCTGTTACAGATCAGACTTGCCGGTGCGATCACGAGTTTTTACACTAAATTTACAGTAGTCAGGTCGTTAACAGCATCAGTGGTTCCTGCGTTACAGTTTAACATGTGGACGCATGTTGGCTGTGTTTTTCGGCGTTCTCTTGCATATAAAACGAAGCTATAATATCAAAACGTTAATTATTTGTATCAAATTTTGATTTAAAATATCGTTCGACATAGGTCAAAATCCACTTTGGTAAAACTAGTTTTAATAAAAAGCGTTCAGATACCGACAGTTTTAGCTCCCGCAAGCTGAACCTACTAGGAGTATTTTGTAGTCTCAGAGACATTGTTCCTCAAAAGGTATCGTGCCCTCATTTTCACTGCTGCTTTCAAACCTCGTCATCAGAATATTAGCTATCCTTAACTGTGCGAAGGTATTACCTAGTTTAAAATGATATTTCGCGCTAGCTGTGGCTCGCTGCAGCGAGTATCCATCGGAAAACCTGTTCACAGCCGTCTTTGCATATAGGCACAAAAATTGCAGATTTTATCCAGAGTGAGTTGAGGAGTTGGTGGCGTTTGCACTGAAAAGCCTGAATGGAGCGTGGGCAGGAGGAATGAAAAGAGATCGGTGGGGCAAAGGAGATGAAGCGACGGAGGAAATTGAGAATTTTCAAAGAAATTTGAAATTGGCGATAATCTTCTACCGGCAAAACACTACATTTTCAAAAACTTTCCTCCTTCAGGACTGGCTGTTCCGTGAAAGAGTGCAAGGGTTTGTCTACGGCACCGACAATGTTAAATGATGGCGATCAGCGAAGGCTCCACGATCTCCCACCAAACTGGATTCATGGCACATATGCACTGTGGTCGTTCGTTCAAACTACCAATTGTCTATCAAAGCTACCGAACGAGTACTGGATGCAAGGACGGCAACAAAATTACCTCGCCAGCAGCAGCAGCAGCTGATAATAATGATTACTCAGTGACGGTGGCGGTGAGGCCGACGACAACAGCGATGCTGACGACAGCACGATCATCGTTAGCATTGATGACGTTTGTAGCAGCAGTAATAATCCAAAGAACGCAGACCTCCTCGTTTCCGGAAGATCCCGATTCATTTTTGGAAATTTTGTTTGATAAATCGGAATGTTAGTCTTTCTATTCGGTCTGTGTTTTCTCTCTACAGCTCTGCTACACACAGCTGATGGCCGTGACTTGAGCATATGTCTTTAAAACAGAACTTCTAGGAGTAAGTGCAGTATCATGAATATTGTACTGTTGGGAACAAAATGATCTGTGCTATCTTTGAATATTGTGGTGCTCGTAATAATATGTACTCCCAAATGCTCTCAGATCCCTTCAGCCCTTCTGATTTTTCAAGTTTAATGGATTAATTTGCTTTATGAACGAAATGTAATAGCCAGCGAAAGTCAGCTCTTTTCTACCCGTCTCCTCCCCATTCCGGCTTCCTTCACTGGGAGTAGTTAGCCTCTCCATATCTGTCGGGCCATCATGTGACCCTTCTGACAGAATAATTACTAATTTTCTTTTTATCCCCTTCTACCGTCTTCTTTTTTCCCGTTCTGCCTTTCTGTTTTTCATTCACTTCAACTACAGTTTCTTTTTGAAGGTGAAGACTTCCTCTCGGATGACAAATGGATGACAATTTCAACACGAAATTGTAAGCCGTTTGTGTGCGACTTTCCGCGACAGTTATGCAGGCGGCCCGCTTCGCAGTATCAAGAGGAGGCAAGCAACACGTGCGTTACAATACCTGAAGATGTGATTTTTTTCCCGCACTTATAATTCTCGTTACACTGCATATTCCTTGTCAATGTGAAAAATCGACTAGCTGTTTTCAGAACTAGTTGTGAGCAACTTATACGACTTAACGGAACGAAACAGTACTGTTCATTCAGTTTTTTTAAATGTAATTTTATATCCTTATTTTTACATACACATATATCATAATTAATATCTCTATTATCCCTCCCTGTGAAGTGTCACCGAAACATCTTGTTTCAGATGGGAGGGAGCTCGATATAAAGCCAACGGTGTTTGCACAGTGGGGTTTATTTTATGCCTGAACAGATTCTTGTTTATACAGAAGCGTACCAGCAACTGACATGAGTTCGCCCATAGCTCATTTTTTGCACTGCTTGCGTGAAGCATTCGGGAATGAAACAAACTGCAATGTGCTCCGGCCGTACGCCACAAGCAAGCGTTTTTTTTTTTTTTTGCACAGCTTTATCCAGTAGATAATTATTGCTGAGATGGGTTAAAAGTGCAAAACGGCTCGGGACTGTTCTGATTGCTTTTTGAAAATGTGGTTTTTGGCCTCCGTTTTCCAATACTTCCGACAAAGTGAAAGCTGAAAACTTGCAAGTTATTCAGTCAGTTACGCATCATAATTGCATAGAAGTCTAAAATCGAATTCTCCCTAGATCCTCCTTTGCATTCCGACTTTTTGATTTTATTATTTCATGTTCATCATGCAAATTAGCCCAACTACTCCACTCAGCTTCCGTATCCGTAGACACAAACAAAATGGTTTTTGAGACACGAATTGCATAAATTTGGATAATAATACATGCAGATTTGATTTCTATTTATCTGAAGTCACCGCTCAGTGAAAATAGGGTGGTCACTTCATGGAAACGTAAGCAACCACAGGTAAAAAACAATTTTTTCAGTTTGCTCTTTTAACTGAATTCAGAAAATATGACAGATACACGAACACATAAAGCGTCGTCTAAAAATGCGTTTTTACATTCCATATATATGCAAACAAAAGGATAAAAGAAGTAGAGGTGACGTGGTACACTTTTTTCCAAGAATCCTGTTTCTGCCCAAAAGAGTTCTTTTGTCTCTAGCTTTTTCAAGTATTCACACACGTCTTTGAACTGTTTTTTCAGTGCCTAACAGCAGCAAATGATGGAAAGCCGTTCGTAAGCAATCAGTTTTCGATAGCTACCGCGGATACGAATCTACAGAAACTGAAAATGAGCACAGCATCTCCGTCAACATTATTTTCCATCTCTCCTGTATCTGCTCATGCCTCGCCGACCACGCAGCATCCATCATCCAGTTTCATCAAAGGTCAGTCAGTATCTTGGAATTAAAATTTGCGTCAGCCTAATTCACAGCTGGAGAGTGTAAGAGAACTTCGTCACTCTACTGAAATTGAAAATTTGTGTTGATTGGGTGATGTGCAAGGCATTGTCTTGATTTTGTGTACGACTTAATGGATTTAGCATACGTTGAAGCAGCACAGTCTACACGACTTAATGGACTGAAATATTCCTGTTTAGTTTTTTGTTCTTTTATTTTAATCCTTTTTCCACTCCTCTTTCCACATAGTTAGTATTAATCATTTTCCACTGCATCCCTATCGTTTTAAAACAATTCAAATTATTTTGAATCATCTGAATGAAAACGAAATCATTTACATTACTCGCGCTGCTGACAACCGGGCCATCCAATGACTATTATCATCTGGCCATCCAATGACTATTAAGAGACGATGTATATATGTGAAAAGTGGTGCGAGCAGACTCCAGATAAGTAGCCTGAAACGCGGGGCACGGCCTTGCTATGCAGAACTTTTGGTTGCATCTTAATGACATCAATTCGGACCAGAAAAATCAATATACTCATAAAAAGCTACTCAAAACGCAAGTTGCAGTGTAGTAGCTTGATGGCGAAATGATGTCTTACAATAATTCTTCGTTCTAATGTTAACAGTGCTCGGACCTTGTTACTCATGCGTTGTTTCCAATACGAAATGCTCTTGATTGCTCAAGCAGATCAAAAGCTTTCGAATTTTTTCTTAAGTAGCTTCGAAAAAAGAGCTACAGAGGGCCCTACCAGACAAATTTGGTGCTACTAAGCATGCTCTTGCTTAGCTACGTACTTTTATCTTGCATGGAGAAACAAATTCTACGGTGCTTTCTAGATTTTGAGAAAATGAAAATAAAGTTCTAGAAAACCGGCTGAAATCGATTCTTCTGACTACGCTTTGAATCATTTGACTCACTAACTTTAGAATATTTCATTGAACTGCCTTTTAGAAAACATTTTTTTTTTGACCTGCACCTCACATGTTAAATGAGAAATCTCATGAATAAAATGAATGAGTTTAGAATCAACAGAAACAACTGGTGGTGTGGAGGATATTTGCACAATGGATCAACCACAAGGCAGATTTTGCGGGTTTCAGATCAAAATTGCTTACAACAGGTATCACAGATTTTTATTTTAATCGAAAATGCAATATCATGAGAAAATGCCGTATTATGTGTGTATGTGTGTTTGGATAATCCTGTTCAGGAACTGCAATTAGAATCAAAAACTTTGCGAGTAGCCGATAGTCATATGAAAGTCAAAAACATAAATATGTTTAAGAAAACTGTTAGGCCAAAATATCCCTGTTCATCCAATTTTTTAATACAATTTATATTTTTATATTTACTACAGGGATTACCTCATTAAATAAACAATTTTGAGAGTTTTTGCCCTCGGAGCCATGATCAGATCGATTTCATTATCCAAGAGCAGGCAAATCTACTAGTTCAAAATGCATTCCTCTACGTTGAATCAAATGTAAACATGCTGCAATGTAAACCGCACCTTGCAAAAACCTGCGCATCCACTGCAAGAAACAGATAATTGAAAAATGCATGAATACGATTTCGCTTTGAACGTGTCACAACGAGCTGAAAGAAATTCTTATTTCTTAAGAAATTCTTACCGCTCCTTAAACAAATGATTTGTTTGAAAACGTTTGACTGTTGGAACGAAACAAGACGAGGTCCAACTGTGGTAAAGGTAAGAAATGTATGCGACTTAATGGACCGAAACATTTCTTACC